TCAGCCACCCCAAAACTCTAACCCCAAAATTGCTTGGGGGTTTCTAGGGAGTGGTTTTGAGCAATTCTCGCTGTTGCTACAACTCGGAGTAACTTCAGAGTAATAACTCCACAACTTTCACCACCCCCAGGGTGCTCCCCCCAATTTCTCTTCTCAGCCACCCCAAAACTCCAATCCCAAAATTGCTTTGGGGTTTCTAAGGGGCGGTTTTGAGCAATTCTCGCTGTTGCTACAACTCGGAGTAACTTCAGAGTAACAACTCCACAATTTCCACCAACCCTCAGGGTGCTCCCCCCAATTTCCCTTCTCCTCAGCCACCCCAAAACTCTAACCCCAAAATTGCTTTGGGGTTTCTGGGGGGCGGTTTTGAGCAATTCTCGCGGTTGCTACAACTCGGAGTAACTTCAGAGTAATAACTCCACAATTTTCCCAAGGGTGCTCCCCCCAATTTCTCTCCTCAGCCACCCCAAAACTCCAACCCCAAAATTGCTTTGGGGTTTCCGGGGGGCGGTTTTGAGCAATTCTCGCGGTTGCTACAACTCGGAGTAACTTCAGAGGAACTTTCACCACCCCCAGGGTGCTCCCCCAATTTCCCTTCTCCTCAGCCACCCCAAAACTCTAACCCCAAAATTGCTTTGGGGTTTCTGGGGGGCGGTTTTGAGCAATTCTCGCGGTTGCTACAACTCGGAGTAACTTCAGAGTAATAACTCCACAATTTTCCCAAGGGTGCTCCCCCCAATTTCTCTCCTCAGCCACCCCAAAACTCCAACCCCAAAATTGCTTTGGGGTTTCTGGGGGGCAGTTTTGAGCAATTCTCGCGGTTGCTACAACTCGGAGTAACTTCAGAGGAACTTTCACCACCCCCAGGGTGCTCTCCCCAATTTCCCTTCTCCTCAGCCACCCCAAAACTCCAACCCCAAAACTGTTTTGGGGTTTCCGGGGGTGGGGGGCGAGGGGGTTTGAGCAATTCTCGCTCTTCCTACAACTCGGAGTAACTTCAGTGCATCTTCGAGCACCCCAAAAACCCAACCCCACTTTTGGGGCTTTCCGAGTGCTCGCTGTTACAACTCGGAGTAACTTCAGCGGAACTCATCACATCCCAGAGCGTGCTCCCCAAATTTTCCTGCTCCTCGCAGCCACCCCAAAATCCAAATCCCATTTTTGGGGTTTTTGGGGGTGGTTTGAGCAATTCTCGCTGTTGCTACAACTGGGAGTAACCTCAGAGGAACTTTCAGCACCCCGAGGATGCTCCAGCAATTTCCCTGCTCCTCAGCCACCCCAAACCCAAATCTTTTTTTAGGTTTTGGGGTGAATTTTGGGTTTGGGGGATGATTTGAGCAATTCTCGCTGCTGCTACAACTCGGAGTAACTTCAGCAGAACTTCGAGCCCCCCAGAGGATGCTCCCCCCAATTTCCCTTCTCCTCAGCCACCCCAAAACCCCAAAAAAATATTTGGGTTCGGGTTTTGGGGTGGCCGAGGAGAATTTTGGGGGGTTTGGGGTTGTTTTTTGAGCAATGCTCAGTGTCGCTACAACTCGGAGTAACTTCAGCGGAACTTCGAGCAGCCAATCATCTCCCTTCTCCTCAGCCACCCCAAAAACCCCAAACCTCAAAATTTTTTGGGGAGTTTTTCGAGCAATTCTCGCTGTTCCTACAACTCGGAGTAACCTCAGAGGAGACTTCGCTCACCCCGGGGACCATAAAGATAATTATTATTGCTGCTAATAAAGCTAATTACTACCGCTGGTATTGATAACCCGCCACGGCCGGGCCGCGGGAAATTTACGATTTTCGCCTCTCCCGGCAGCAAAACTTGGCCAAAAAAAGGGATTTTTTGGGAGTTTTTGAGGGGGGAATTTTAAAACCCCCTTGGCCAGGAGGGGCTGGCGAGTGGGAGGAAGGCAGGGCTGAGGAATTTACGTGTCTGCACTTTTATTTTTCTTCTTTTTTTTTGCTTTTTTCCCTTTTTTTCCCCTCTTTTTTTTCCTCTTTTTCCTTTTGTTCCCCATCCCAATTATCTCCTTTAATTGTGGGCGCTCCCTCCTCGGCCTGAAGTGCTGACGAGGGGGAATTTTGTGGAGAAAAAGGGAAAGAGGAGCCACAAAAAGCTCTTTGGAGCTGCCTGGGATGGCAGAACTCATCGAGGGCTCCCATCGCCTTTTTTTTTGTTATTATTTTAAATTATTATTATTTTCTTTTAAATTTCTGTGTGCTGCACCTTCAGACTGAGAACTCTGGGAAAAAAAAATCAAGAAGGAAAAAAAAAAAAAAAAGAAGGAAAAGATGAAAAATAATTTAAAAAGAAGGATGCCCAAGGGAAGATTTGGACTTTTGGGGAACTCTCTCAGCTGAAATTTTCCAGGTGATTTTCAAAGTTTTATCCCAAGAATTCCCGGGATTTTGTTCTGCCCGCAGCCTCCGGCCCGTAATTGCCATTTTATGAGGATTTCTCGTCACCTCCCCACCCCTCTCATCTGACTTTTTATGAGCTGCTCCCACATAAATCTCCTGCTACGAGACAGGTCCTGCCTGGGAACGCCGGCGTTGGAATCCCGGGGGAAAAAAAGGGGGAAAAAGAGGGGAAAAAGAGGAAAAAGAGGGGAAAAGAGGAAAAAAAGAGGGGAATAAAGAGGGGAAAAAAGGGGAAAAAGAGGAAAAAGAGGGGAAAAAGAGGGGAAAAAAGGGGGAAAAGAGGGGAAAAAAAAAGGGGAAAAAAGAGGGAAAAAGAGAGGAAAAAGAGGGGAAAAAGAGGGAATCTCAGGGAGACCCAGAAGTGCCGAACCCCCCCGGGAATTTCTGCATTTCTGGTTTTTTGGAGCTCAAGGAGACCCAGAAGTGCCGAACCCCCCCGGATTTCTGCATTTCTGATTTTTTGGAGCTCAGGGAGACCCAGAAGTGCCGAACCCCCCCGGATTTCTGCATTTCTGGTTTTTTGGAGCTCAGGGAGACCCTGAAGTTCCCGGGGTGCTGCGAGCGGCTGCTCAGAAATGGGAAAAATTCGGATTTTCACCCCAAGAGCCGGGACGGCCCCGCGGGGCGGGAGCGGCTCCGGGCGCGGCCGCGTCTGCTGCGATCGCGGCTTCTGCTCCAGCCAGCTGCGAATGTCGCGATTTGGGGCTTCCCGCAAAGCCAGTGTCGCGATTTGGGGTTCCCCTCAAAGGCCAATGTCACTGTTTGGGGCTTCCCTCCAAGGCCATTGTCACGATTTCGGGTTTCCCCTCAAGGTCAATATCGCGATTTGGGGTTCCCCTCAAAGCCAGTGTCGCGATTTCGGGTTTCCCTCCAATGGCAAATGTCATGATTTGGGGTTCTCTCAAACGCCAATGTCGTGATTTGGGTTTCCTGTCAAAGGCCAATATCGCAATTTGGGGTTTCCCTCCAAAGCCAGTGTTGGATTTGGGATTTCCTCCAAATGCCAATGTCACGATTTGGGGTTTCCCTCAAAGCCAGTGTCGCCATTTGGGGTTTCCCTTCAAGGCCAATGTTGGATTTGGGATTTCCTCCAAAGGCCAATATCACAATTTGGGGTTTCCCCTCCAAGGCCAACGTCACGATTTGGGGTTTCCCCTCAAAGCCAATGTTGCCATTTGGGGTTTCCTGTCAAAGGCCAGTGTTGCCATTTGGGGATTCCCTCAAACGCCAGTGTCATGATTTGGGTTTCCCCTCAAGGTCAATGTTGTGATTTGGGGTTTCCCCTCAAGGTCAGTATAGCGATTTGGGGTTCCCCTCAAACGCCAGTGTCGCGATTTGGGGTTCCCCTCAAAGGCCAATGTCGCGATTTGGGGTTCCCCTCAAAGGCCAATGTCGCGATTTGGGGTTCCCCTCAAAGGCCAATGTCGCGATTTGGGGTTCCCCTCAAAGCCAGTGTCGCGATTTGGGGTTTCCCTCAAAGCCAATGTTGTGATTTGGGGTTTCCCCCTCAAAGGCCAGTGTCGCGATTTGGGGTTCCCCTCAAAGGCCAATGTCACTGTTTGGGGTTTCCCTCAAAGGCCCATGTCGTGATTTGGGGTTTCCCCTCAAGGTCAGTATAGCGATTTGGGGTTCCCCTCAAACCCAGTGTCGCCATTTGGGGTTTCCCTTCAAGGCCAATGTTGGATTTGGGATTTCCTCCAAAGGCCAATATCACAATTTGGGGTTTCCCCTCCAAGGCCAACGTCACGATTTGGGGTTTCCCCTCAAAGCCAATGTTGCCATTTGGGGTTTCCTGTCAAAGGCCAGTGTTGCCATTTGGGGATTCCCTCAAACGCCAGTGTCATGATTTGGGTTTCCCCTCAAGGTCAATGTTGTGATTTGGGGTTTCCCCTCAAGGTCAGTATAGCGATTTGGGGTTCCCCTCAAACGCCAGTGTCGCGATTTGGGGTTCCCCTCAAAGGCCAGTGTTGCGGTTTGGGGTTCCCCTCAAAGGCCAATGTCACTGTTTGGGGTTTCCCTCAAAGGCCCATGTCGGCCCATGTCGTGATTTGGGGTTTCCCCTATAGCGATTTGGGGTTCCCCTCAAACGCCAGTGTCGCGATTTGGGGTTCCCCTCAAAGGCCAGTGTTGCGGTTTGGGGTTCCCCTCAAAGGCCAATGTCACTGTTTGGGGTTTCCCTCAAAGGCCATTGTCACGATTTGGGTTTCGCCCTCAATGGCCAGTGTCGTGATTTGGGTTTCCCTCCAGAGGCCAATGTCACAATTTGGGGTTTCCCTCAAATGCCAATGTCACAATTTGGGGTTTCCCTCCAGAGGCCAATGTTGGATTTGGGGTTCCCCAGCTCCACAAACCCCCGAGCTCCAGACAGGGGGAGCGGGAAAAGGAAAACAACGCGGCTGGAACCAGGACGGGCTTGGATCGGGAAAGGCGAAAATAAAATAAAATAAAATAAAATAAAATAAAATAAAATAAAATAAAATAAAATAATAATAATAAAAAATAAAATAAAATAAATAAAATAATCAGGCAGTAGCAGGGCTCAGGCTGTGGGAGTGGGACAGACGGACACGAGCTGGATGAAAACTCACCGGGTGTTGGGGGCTGCTCGGGCAGATCCGAGGCCGGCTTGGAGAGAGGAGCGGGGCTGAGGAGGGAAACAGAAATCAAACCTCTGAAAGCTGGGCCACAGCAGGGAGGGTGAGGGGAATCGTCACCGCGTGGTGGCAACGGGGAAATGGGGACAGGGGGGACGAAATGCCCCTCAAAGGCCAATGTCGGGGGCAAAGGGGGTGAAATGGGGACAGGAGGGACAAAATGGGGACAGGAGGGACAGACGGGGACAAAGGGGACGAAATGGGGGCAAGGGGGTGAAATGGGGACAGGAGGGACAGACGGGGACAAGGGGGACAAAATCAGGGTAAGAGGGATGAAATGGGGACAGGAGGGACGAGATGGGGACAAGGGGGACAAAATGGGGACAAGGGGGGTGAAATGGGGACAAGAGGGACAAAATGGGGATAAGGAGGATGAGATGGGGACAAGGGGGACGCAATGGGGACAAGGGGGATGAAATGGGGACAGGAGGGACAAAGTGGGGACAAGGGGGACGCGATGGGGACAGGAGGATCCAAAGCCCCTCTGGGGTTCCCCCCCTCCCCCCGGAACTTCCGTCAGAGCTGCGATTTTGTCCTGAGCATTTGGGGCGCTCCCGTCCCTGCCCGGGGTTTCCTTCTGCTCTCCCTTTCGGGGACACCGGGGACATTGGGGGACAGCGGGGACATTGGGGACATCAGGGACACTGGGGGACACCAGGGGACACCAAGGGACATCAGGGACAGTGGGGGACACCGGGGACACCGGGGGCATTGGGGGACACCGGGGACATCAGGGGAACCCTGGGGGACACTGGGGGACATTGGGAACATCAACGACACCGGGGGACATTGGGGGACACTTGGGGACATCAGGGACACTGGGGACACCAGAGGAAACCTGGGGGACATCAGGGACAGTGGGGAACACTGGGGACATCGCGGGACACCAGGGGACACTGAGGAGCCCTGGTGGACATCGGGGGACATTGGGAACATCAGGGACACCGGGGGACATCAGGGACACCGGGGACACCAGGGGAACCCTGGGGGACACCGGAGGACAGTGGGGAACATTGGGGACATCGCGGGACACCAGGGGACACTGAGGAGCCCTGGTGGACATCGGGGGACATTGGGAACATCAGGGACACCGGGGGACACCAGGGGACACTGGGGGACACTGGGGGACATCAGGGGACATTGGAGACACCAGGGGAAACCTGGGGGACACCGGAGGACAGTGGGGAACATTGGGGACATCGCAGGACACCGGGGGACACTGAGGAGCCCTGGTGGACACTGGGGGACATTGGGAACATCAAGGACACCGGGGGACACCAGGGGACACCAAGGGACATCAGGGACACTGGGGGACATTGAGAACATCAGGGACACGGGGGGACATTGGGAACATCAGGGACACTGGGGGACACCAGGGGACATCGGGGGACATCAAGAGACATCAGGGACACCGGGGCACATCAAGGGACATCGGGAGACATTGGGGGACACCGGGGGACACCGGGGGACACCGGGGGACATCAGGGACATTGGGGGACATCGGGGACACTGGGGGACATCGGGGGGACATCAGGAGACATCAGGGACACCAGGAGACACCAGGGGACACTGGGGGACATTGGGGGACACCGGGGGACACGGGGGGACATTGGGAACATCAGGGTCATTGGGGGACACCGGGGGACACGGGGGGACACTGGAGGACATCAAGAGACACTGGGGGACACTGGGGGACACCAGGGGACACCAGGGGACATCAGGGACACGGAGGGACATCAGGGACACCAGGGGACATTGGGAACATCAGGGGACATCAGGGACACCAGGGGACACTGGGGCACATCAAGGGACATCGGGGGACATTGGGGGACACTGGGGGACACCAGGGGACACCAGGGGACATCAGGGACACCAGGGGACACCGGGGGACACCGGGAACCCCCCAAACTCAGGTTTTGGGGTCCCTTTGGGGCCGAGCCTGAAGCGAGGCCTCCGGGGAGCCCCGAGGGCGATTCCCAAATTTGGGGCTGGGGGAAGGATCCGGGCTCGGTCCCGGCGCTCGTTTCCGTGCTCAAGGCCCTCAGACATTAATTAGCTGCCGTTAATTAGCTGGGGGTGGAGCCAAAAAACACCGGGGGAAGCACGAGGCCGTTTTCCTGGGAAAGCCCGGAGAATTCGGAAAATTAAATTTTTTTTTTTTTTAATTTCCTGGTTCCCAAACCGGGAGGAGGGAGGAGTTTGAGGGGACGCGAGGACACGACCCCGCACGGCCGCGATTTGGTCCCAAAATGACCCAAAATCCCCCAAAATGACCCAAAATTAATGTGCTAAAGCCGCAAAAATAATTAAAAAAAAAGATTTCTAAAAGCCACGCTGGGATTTCTCACGACAATTTTGGCACGGAGCCGCTGGCGGAGGGGGGAGGAGAGAAAGGGGAGGAGGCAAAAAAATGAAAATAAATTAAAAAAGAACAGTCCAATTTTAAAATATTTTCGTTTTGGGAAACATTCGGTGGCTTTAATAACCCCGCTTCCGTTGTGAGTGTTGGTGTTGTTAATCTGAAATAAAAATGTTCCCCGAGTCCGTAAATCAGCGCGGGAGCTCCGCGACCTGGATGTTTTATTAGGATTATTATTATTAATTATTATTTTATTATTGGTATGGAGCGAGGTTTTAATGCGCCGCCCCCGCGATTTTCCATTCCCACCTCAGCCGGGGCTGCTCGGGTCCCTCGGGGGTTTGGAAAGAGGGAAAAAATTAAAATAAAAGGGAAAAAAATAAAATAAAAGGGAAAAAAAATAAAATAAAAGGGAAAAAAATTAAAATAAAAGGGGGAAAAATTAAAATAAAAGGGAAAAAATCGAAATAAAAGGGAAAAAATTAAAATTAAAAGGTAGAAATAATAAAAGGGAGAAAAAATAAAAGGGAAAAAATCAAAATAAAAGGGAAAAATCAAAATAAAAGGAAAAATGAAAAGAAAAGGGAAAAATAGCAAAATAAAAGGAAAAAAATGAAAATAAAAGGGGAAAAATGAAAATAAAAGGAAAAATCAAAATAAAAGGGGGAAAAATCAAAATAAAAGGGGAAAAATCAAAATAAAAGGGGAAAAATCAAAATAAAAGGTGGAAAAATCAAAATAAAAGGGGAAAAATCAAAATAAAAGGGGAAAAAATCAAAATAAATGGAAAAAATCATTTTAAAAAAAGGAAAAAAAGAAGATTTCTTCCCGAGTTCTTCCCACTCCGGGAGCGTGGACGGAGACAAGCCAAAAAAGAGATAAAATCGCTTTTATTTGGAGGGGGGGGAAGGAGGAAAAAGAGAAAAAAAAAGAAATTCGGAGGAGCTGGGATAAAAATCGGCCGCGCGAGGGGAGCGCGCTGGGTTTTGGTTTTTGTTTTTCTTTTTGTCCCGCTTTGTTTTTCTGCGTTTTTAATTCATTCCCTCGCAGCCGAGGCTTCCCCCGCCCCTCCCCGCCTTCTTTGTTTGGATTTTTGGGGTTTTTTTGGATTTTTTTTGGGTTTTTTCTCCATTAATTCTCCGCTGGGGGCGGGGCCGCTCCCGCTCCTCCCGCACCCGCGGGGGGGGCGGGGCCCCCGCTGGGGTTTTTTTTTTTTTTTGGGAAAAAAAAAAAAAAAAAAAAAAAAAAAAAAAAAAAAAAAAAAAAAAAAAAAAGGAAAGGAAAGGAAGTTAATTGTTCCTAGAATTAATCACCAGAAGACAAATAACTCTGTCGATGGCTGCAGCTCGCTGCCAGCAGCCCGGGCTGAGCTGACGTGTGTCATGGCATGCGATTGCCACCCGCTTTGTTTTTCTGCGTTTTTAATTCATTCCCTCGCAGCCGAGGCTTCCCCCGCCCCTCCCCGCCTTCTTTGTTTGGATTTTTGGGGTTTTTTTGGGGTTTTTTGGGTTTTTTTCTTCATTAATTCTCCTCTGGGGGCGGGGCCGCTCCCGCTCCTCCCGCACCCGCGGGCGGGGCGAGCCCCGTGTTGGATTTTTATTTTTTTTTGGCAAAAAAAAAGAAGAATTTTGGGTTTTTCCGTCCCTCAAAGAGCGAGGAGGAGGCGGGAGAGCAGCGAAGGCTCCGGGACCTCGCGGAACCCCGGACAGAAGCCGCGCGGGGGAAGAAATCCGATTTTTGGGGTTGTTTTTCATGACGGATCGGAGTTTTTTCCTCGCCCTGACCTTTGCTGGGAGCAGCAATAATTCACCCGGTTAATGATCAACGCGGGGAAGCGCTTTGGAGCTGGCTCCCAAAAAATAAAACCAAAAAAAATACACCCAAAAAATCAAAATAAAGCAAAAAAAAAAGCCCAAAAATCAAAATAAAGCAAAAAAACACCCTAAAAATCAAAATAAAGCCAAAAAACCACACCAAAAATCAAAATAAAGCAAAAAAAAACACCCCTAAAATCAAAATAAAACCAAAAAACACCCCAAAAATCACAATAAAGCAAAAAAAAAAAAAAAAAAAAGCCCAAAAAACAAAAAAAAAAAAAAAAAAAAAAAACAAAAAAAAAAAAACCCCCCCAAAACCAAAAAAAAA